AAACACACCCATACAGACACACACAGAAACATACACAAACACAGACACACATACAAGCACATGATATATGTGAACACAATAAAGCACGCACACACAAAAAAGCAAGTACATACATATAAACATATTCACACGCAACAACGTCAAAACTCATTAAAACTCACACAAGTACACAAGTACACAAGTACACAAGTACACAAATAGACACACAACAACACACAAACAGCCACACACACTGATCCTACCCACTGCATTCGAAAGGACATACTACCCCCACCCACCCCTATTTTAACCCCAACAATTTCAGCTTCTAATGCCCTAAAAATTAGACTGCAAGCAGTAACATGCCTCACTTGTTCGCATTACATGGTCTTCGTTACCTTTATCTATTTGAGTTTTGTTTTGTTTTGTTTCGTTTTGTTTGAAAAGAGGGAGGGGGGTTGTTTCTGTCCACCTCTATGAAAATTAACCGGAAACAGTAACTCATTTTGTAAAGGTTAAAGTTAAACCAGCGAATGAATACCTGGGAACCAAAGCATGTATTCGGAAGGCTATTCCTCTTTAGTACGCAACCAGTGTAGTCATCGAATTTTTCAGCATCACAAACTTCCATAATATTATACATCTGCTCCAATTTTACCTTTTAGCATGAAATAAACGTCAAACTGACGAGAAACGAATGATCCGAGCAGTTAACATATCGTGTGAAAAATATAATAAGATGACTGTACTGGGGTTTGATTTGTATTGTTGTTATGGTTGTAAATAGCCGAGAGATGCCGTGCACTTCGAGTTAAGAACACTGTTCCTTTCGCACATTACTCATTTGGGCTTAAGAGCGTCTACTGAAACTTGTTGTCGAATAATAATTAATTGCCACTCAACACGATTAGGGTCGTATTCCACCAAGAACAGATGCGGATGACAATAAGAGTGGAAATAAGTCGGATTAGACCACTCCAGGACTTCTACTTACCCCTCGCCGTGTTTGATGGGCCATAATATATTTTACCTTTCCATCCTTCTGTATCTAGTTCAACAAGTTCAAACGATCCTGCATTCCTCTCGCGGTCACAGTCCGACATATGAAATGCTGCACACAATTTCTGCGGCTTTTTTTTTTTCATACATCATTAATTTCATGGCGAGACACCCGCCCGGCTAGGCTAGTTTTCACACCCAGGTCGTTTGTTTGTCTTTCCTTCTTTTTATGTTTGTTTGTATGTTTGTTTCACTTTTCGCCAGAGTTTGTTGTTTTGAGTTGTTGCTATTGTTGTTGTTGTTGTTTTTGTTTGTTTGTTTTGTTTTTAAAGGACGAACCTGACACGAGCATTGTGCTATTGTGTTTCGGTGTCAATTTTCGGTTTTCCGGTCGTTATGTCTGTGTGTACGTACTAATAGTTTTGTGTCTTGGCCTTGCTGTCCGGTGCGTGATCATTAAGGGGGGGTATTTATGTACACGTTCAGGTAAAACTGATAGTTAGTCTGCCTTCTTTGTGACATATGAGAATACTCCATCATGCAGCCTTGGTAACAAGACTTCCTTGTTTTGGTGATCTTCCAAATGATAGCAAGAAAAAGAGTCACTCATTAATCAATTTAATTCTGATACGCTGTTTCAGAACTTGATATTATCTTTACAATAGGACGTAGTTTTCAATACGTCTATCAACGTAATTTTTTTCATCGATCAAGGCAGCAGAAAGAGTCAGGAACCCAGATGATGGGGATGGGAGGGGGGGG